AACTCCATCCAAATTGTTCAAAAGGCATTAATTCATCTGTCTTTATGGTTGAGTAGTACTCCATGGTGTACATATACTAAGTTTTATTAATCCACTCATGAATTGATGGGCACTTATGCAATTGTGAATTGTGGTGCAATAAATATCCAAGTGCTGGTGTCTTTTTTTATAAATACCCAGTAGTCACCCCCAATTTCACTTAGCTATAGTCATGTGATGTAAAAAAAAAAGAAAGTAAAATTAAAGTAAAATTTTAAAAAATACTCAGTAGTCGGATTGCTGGATCGAATGATAGCTCTACTTTTCATTCTTTGAGGAACTTACCAGGGTTCTTTTGCTGGTTTCTTCTCATCTGACTCATCTTCTCTCAGCTCTGGGTTAATATGAATGCAGAGCACCTGTTCTCCTCTGCTAGAGACTCTTTCGAACCAAGTCCAGGAGTGGCAGCTACTCAGTGTTGGTGGATCCTGAGTATAGTGTTGGACTTTGGGGATGTTCTGTCTGCCCAGAGGTACTGTTGGGGACACAGTAGTGCAGTCTTGGGGTCCAGGGACAACTCTGGAGTCTTGGGGGTGGGGTCACAGGCCCAGTGGGGGCCCTGGAGCTACAGGAGCAGAGACTCAGACTTGGGTATGACAAAAGCTTCAGAGCTGGATTTGGGGATTTGGGGGAAAGAGCCACACATATAGGGACTGCTGGCACTCAGTCACACAGACAGGGGTTTCTCTCAGTGGCCCAGGTCCCATGTAGGTGGACAAGAACTGCTGGCTGGCCAAGGTTCTCCCCCCACACCTAGGACCCACTGGGGCAGTCAACCCAGGCTTCCCAAGTGGTACCTGTGGCATCTGAGGCTCCCCCTCTGTTTGGCTTCCCCACCACAGAGGATGCATTCTCAGTCCCCAGTCACAGGGCTTAACATGAGAGAGGGTCTGTTCCCTCCCCACACTGGCAGGGGTGATGCTAAGGTTACTGCTTGATGGCTGGTTCCTAAATGGACCTGGCTGTGTGTGCCAGAGCAATCAGGATGCCGTTAGTTACAGAAGCCTGGGACTGGCAGGCACCAGATCTCTGCTGCACCCGCTCTCCAGCGTAACGTCTCTGCACAGACTCTGAGCTGCTCCCCAATCATCCCTCAGGTCTGCGGTGGAAGAGGTTGATGCGCACATGTTGAGCTGCCTGTAACTTTTGTTTCTCTCTTAATAAACAGTGTCCCCTCAGGTTTTCTCTATACTGCTGTCTTCACCTCTCTCCTGTAGTGTGAAATGTATTGGGACCCCCAGTTTAATCTCCAAGATTGTAGGTGGTACTAGTGAGTAAGAATCAGCCATGCTCTGTTTAACTGAGTTGGTAGATGCTGTGATGAGCTGTGGAGTTGTTCCTTCTGACTGTGGTTGATGCTTGAAAGAGACAACTGCTGAGATGTTTTGTGCCCATATTAAGCTCTAGTCCCTCGGGTGGAACATTTGAATGCCCCAGGCTTTGGGAAGGTCCCTGGAGCTCCCAGGGGGTTGCATGATCTTCACCACAGCAAAGCTGGGTGGGGTAAGGCAGAGTGTGGTTAGGTCGCATGAGCCTGGGAGGCTTTGCAAAGCCTCAGCCTGGCAAAGAGGTTGTTTTCCTGGCCACTAGGGAGGAAAGTCAAGGCCTACTCTCCAGACCGGAAGAGCTACTTGTGGAGGAGGGGCCTGAATGCTTGGTTGCTATGGCACCCTGGGCTGGGATCTTCCCCACTGGAGGACCCACTCCAATCCAACAGCATGGCTTTCCTGTGATGGGAGTGGGGGTGCTCTCACAGATCACCACATCTGGGACCCCCACAGTTTTCTCCCATCAGTTTTGTCAACGTGGGCTCCCTCACCACCCAAGTCCAGCTCCCAAACCTCCCCACTGTGTCCCCCAGCAACCCGCTTGAGTCTGGGAGTTACAGAATCTGGCCTGCATTTCTGACCAACTGGTGTGTGTCTCTGCAAAGTGCCTTGGGCAGGGAGCTCCCAGAACAGACACCCTGGGTCCACTGCAGGTACTCAAGGGGAAAGGCATGGGCCTAACCCTCTGTGGAAACCTCTGCATGGAGTACAGCTGGGGAGAGGTGGCCCCTGGCCAAATTCTCAGCTCAAATTGCTCTCCCGGTTGCAGTGGGTGGGGGAAAGGCCACAGTTCCCCCACAGCCTAAGTGCCTGAATGCACCCCACTTGATTGCTGTGGCTCCCAGGGCTGGGATCTTCCCCCGCTGGAGGACCCACCCTCCTCCAACACCCTGGCTTTCCTGCAGGGGGGATGGGCCCTTTCCCATATCACCGTGTCTTGGGCCCCCACGGTGTTCTCCATTATGTCTGTCCATGTGGGCTCCCTTGCTCCCCGAGTCCAACTCCCAAACCTCCCCCCATGGCCTCCAGCAACCCACTCATGTCCAGGGGCCACAGGATCCAGTCTGCATGTCTGACCTGCTGGCCTGCGTCTCTGTGAAATGCTGGCAGGCTCAGATGGGTTGGGTTCCTTGGGGTTCCCTACAGGTCCTCAAGGGGAAAGGCATGGGCCCCAGTCTCTGTGGAAACCTCGGACTCCAGGACACACCAGCTGGGGAGAGATGGCTGTTTGCCAAATTCTTGGGTCAGACTGCTCTCCAGGTTGCAGTCAGTGGGGGGGGGAGGAATAAGAGTCTGAATGTAAGAAAGCCAGCTCTCTGGCCTCTCGGGTCACTCTCCTCGGAGGGGAACCCTGCACAGAATGTCCAAGCTCTGGGATCACGCAAGTTTTCCCTACTATTTTGTGTTTGTGGCAGTGCTTGGGCTCATGGAGGTGGAAAAGCTAAGAAGAGATTCAATAGCCTGCTGGTTACCAAAAGAGTGTGGGGCAGAGAAGGTGATCCCCCCCTTACCCCTTCACTGGGCTCCGAGCCTCTCTGGGTTTGATTCTCACAGATATCTTTTTTCCTTTATCTTCTTCCTTCTCTGCTTCACAGTGTTCCTCTATGAGGTCTCTGGCAGGCTCTGGCACTTCTCTCTATGGTCTACATCTGAGCTGTGTCTCCTCCCCACTCTCCTTTACCTCAATCCCTACCTTCCCTCTGGGAAGGTCCAGCAAATGATGTCTGTAGTCAGTCATCTTCAATTTAATGCCTGACATCTTTATGATGTTAAATTTTGCTTTCCCAACACATATCTTTCCTGGTTGTTCAAGTGTACTGCTGGTTTGGCCTTTCAGCAGTGCTCTACAGTTTTCTTTACAGAGGCTGTGGACATCTCTTGTAGAGCTTATGTCTAGGTGTATCTCTGCGTGTTTTTAATCATAAATTGCATCTTCTATTTCATTATATATTCAAATAGTTTTTGTTTATATATATATATGTGAAGTTTATTTGATTTTTATGTCAATTTTAATTCTGCTGCTTTATTAAATTATACTATTACTTATAGTTTTTTATATAGATTATTTGGGGGTTTTAGTCATAAATGACACCAGCTGAAAACAGAGATAGTTTAACTTAATACTTTAACTTATTGCTTAAAAAATCAACCCTTAGTTGTTGGTTTTAAATTAATTAGATTACCCAGAAATATTACCCAGAAATGAAGATGTCTGTTTTTACCTTTCAAAAAACTATGTAAGAATCTGAGTTGATAGATTAGCTTTCTTTTCATTCCTTTGTATTACTGATTCAGTAAGTCAAACACTAATTGAGTGGCAATTTATCCAAAAATTTTAGAGTGAAATCTTTAAAATATATTAAAAGTTCTTAAGTTTGAAAAAAAATGTGTAATCTCAAGTTTGCAAGTGTCATCCATTATGTAAATTGGACAAGTTACAAAGAGAGAACAGGATCAGCCCCAGGCAGAACTGTCAGACGGTTAAAGTTTGGATTCTTCTCTAAAAATTTGTAGCCTTTTCTTAACTCTCCACTTTCCCTAAGGACCTTTGATTATCATACTGACCCCTTACACTCTAAGAACACGTATCATAAAAAGGAAGCCACCCAAACTTGGATCTGCTTCTGTCCTCCTGGCTCCCACCTGATGTAGCAAAAGCTGAGGTGGTGTCAAGTTAAGAACTTTAACTACAAGCATAACCTGATTCTATTTCATCTAACGTGTAAGTATAATTTCCAAAAGGAAGCAAAACCCAAACAAACAAAAAGCTAATGTGAAGAAAGCAGTGACGATTAAGTAAACCTAGATTGACCTTTCGGACCATTTCCACAAAAATGATATTTTGTCTCTTTTAGCTAACACTCTATTAACCAGCCATAAGGGAGTCATACAGTTTCATGTATGGAAAAGAATCTAGCCTCATTCAACTCTTCCCTAGCCCTTTCCCCTTTTCATCCTTAAATTTTCAACCAATAGCCCAAAAACTGACAACAAAAAATGCCTGGCTGTACTTGTGACAGAAAATCTTTTCTGTAACTTCTTCCTATCTTTTTAGTTCCAGTTGAAAATGTGAAAATGAGAGCCTTTCAATTCAAGTGGGATCAACTAGAACATGTACAAAAGTCAGTACAAATCCATTTCCATGACTGTTGAAATATAGTAGACATTATGTACTATCTAGTGAATGAACAAATTCATAATATCCTTATGTCAACAATATCATATTTGCCTATGAAGTATGCTACATTTATTAACTACTCAGAGATTACTAAGTGGATTTTAAGACCAAAATCAAACTCTACAATAAGCTTTGTACATTCATTTTCTCCAATATGTAGACCTAGTTACAATTAAAGGTTTCCTCCAACTTCGGGTAGGATTACTTTAAAAACTCAGAGTCAAGAAACAAAGTTAGAGAATCTCATATGTATTGTCAGTAAGCACCTTGATGAATTGGAATTTATAGAACCCAAGAAATGAAGTTGGAAGTGTAAAATAGTACTTATAAAGGGAAAAGTCAACCATGTCTCTAGGCATATATTTCACCAAATTTTAGATTTTATTAAGGCTCCAAATTTGGATTAAAGTTAGAACTCATAGTTTCAATAATTCTTAATCTTAAATGGCCCCTGAATTATAGTAGGAAGGAACTAATTGATGGAAACACTTTCAATCACAAGGAAATCTTCCTTTAGGTTTCATCTTCTGACCATTCCTTAATGTTTAGCAAACATGCAGTTTTAGTGCTGATAGTATATAATATTCTGTGTTGGTTAATAAACTCTCAGTTCTTTGAGTTCAGAGGCCGTTTGTTGTATTTCCCTTGTACCATCCACAAAACCTAACAAAGATCAGAGAGAAAAATGTGCTGATTCATAAATGTGTATAATCGATGTAGATCAATGAGTCTTATAAAGGAATAAACACAATTAAAATTATGTATGGGGAACCAGAACTTAATTTAGAAACAGAGATTCAAAGGGTTTTTAAATACAGTTTCTTGAGGCCAAGAATCATATCTTTCTCATCCTTATATTATAGGAGTTCATCACAGCATAAGGATTAAAAAAAAAACAAAACAGTAAGTATGTGGTAAATAAATGACTTAATAAATTAATATGGTTTTAACTTTTCATTTAGAATATAATGAACATCAGGGGTGACCTTCATCAGTGTTATATATCACTGGAGAAAGGTCCTTTTCAGGCATTTTCTCCTATCCTGCATAAGCAAAGATTTCTGGTCCTATTCTTTCTCTTTCTCAGGTACCTGTCATGTTTGCAAGTTATTAATAACTCCATATATCTGGTAGCTGATAAGTTTTAAGAAGTGACCCTTTCCAGAGACGCTTGAATTATTGATGTCCTCTTAACAATCCAGATAAAGATATGAATTATTGACTTTAAGCACTAAACCAACTGGTAGTTAGTTATATGTGGAGCATGCATGCACAGGTGAGAAAGTAGCTATGGTTCTAAACCTTAAAACAGCCCAATGAGGTCTATACTGTCATCCCCATTTTAAAGATGAAAACACTGAGACTCTAGGTGGTGTTTCTCAGAGTGTGGCCCTGGACTGGTAGTGTCAGCATCATCTTGGAATTTGTTAGGTAAATTTCTGGTCCCATTTGAGACTTATTGAGTGTTTCAGCAAGCAGTCCGGGTGATTCTGTTGCATGCTAAAGTTTGAGAGCAACCACTTCAGAGATTTTTTTTTTTTTTGGTGTAGAAATAATGTATTTGGTTATGGGGTGCTGACACCTGGCTCAGGAATGACACACATCTGGCTCAGGAATTACAAAATATACAACACATAAATGTTATTCTTTCTGGAATCCAAAGTCTTGCAAAATCCCATGGGTTGTGGGTAAAGGAGGACTTCAGAGATTTTAAGTGGTTTGATTTACCCAGGATCCCACAGAGATGGGAAAAGCAGAGATGGGAACTGAATCCAGGCATCCAATACCATTTCCTCACTCTCAGTTGCACCCATTTCCTCATGATGAGCAGTAAGTCAGTCACTCTCCTCTTTCTCAGGAGGCCAGTCTGGTGCTAGACTTGAAATAATGGAAAAGATAAAGCTAGTTCCTAGGAAAGCCTCACAATTTCAGGATGTTAAAGACTCTTAAGAATCAGTTTACACATAAAGTCCAAAGAAGTAAACCAATAATTTTCTTGATTAAAATAAAACACATATAATGGGTTTTGCTCTCAAAATATAGAGATCAGGAAGGACTTTCTAAGTAAAGCTACATCCCTTATTTCATTCAGTGCTTCCTCTATAATTGCTCTTTTTTAGGTCTTAAAAATAACTTTTTTTTCTCTTTATCTGGTCTGATCTTCACCATGAGTAGATATTTAAGAGAGGTACAGTAGTTCATGGAGTTCATGGTTTAGATACATGTAATTTGTGTCCTACTTTGCCATTTTCCCTTTCTTGACTTGAGCAGACCTATCAAATTCTTTGAGAACAAAAGTAAAGAAAATTTTCAACTGGCTTGTTGGAAGTACCATTGTACATTAGTTGAGAGCCCAGGTTTTGGCATTAGAATCACCTGGATTTGACTCAATTTTGACAACTTACTATGTCAAATGATTTATTTAGATGTCTTATGGTCAGCTTTACCAAATGAAAGTAAGAACTGCATCTAGTTCCTAGAGTAGTTGCAAGAATTTTATGAAATAACACAATAAAGCACTTAGTACAGTTCCTGCATATAGTAAATGCTCAATAAATGCTGGCTTATCATTATTAGTATTACTATCATTATGGGAAAATACTACAACTGAGTTCCAGTCTCCCATTTGTACATACACTTATTCATTCTAGATGCTGTTTCCCTTCATGTCATTCCTCAACATGTTTTATAGGGCCCCTTTAATTTCCAGCAGGTATTTCTCTCACATGTGTTTCATCTCCCCCAGGACACAAACTCGTATATTCACACAACCACTCATTCCCATGGCTCAGGCTGTCATACAAGGGGCCCAGAGTCTGGGCCTCTTTACTCAAGATGATTATAGGAAGGATGGTTACTGGAAAGGACCCTTTCCCTGAAAGTGTCATTGCCACCAATCACTGGAGTTTTGTCATTTTTAGTGACTCATTCTCTTGTGTGAAGATAAGCTATTCTCTCCCCACATTCTTCCTTTTAAACAAAATGCTACTGAAAATTGGCAACTTAATACATCATTAGTGTGAATAGATTATCAGATTAAATGGAAGAGAAATGTGGATCTTAAGTGTACTGGATCTTCTGGGAAAGGAAGTAAAAGTTCTTAAATGGATGACTTGAGTAGTCTAAAGCAAACCTGTTCATTAGACATTGGTCTGTAAAAGCTGACAAAGGTCTTTGCCTTTGAAATAAATACAAAGGTGCAGAAGTGTCTTTCTATATATACAGTTTCATGTGAGAAATCTCAGCTCCATGATCTACCCAGGATTAAGGTAAAAATATTGAGTACAAACATCTCCAATCATACACATAATAGTATCATGTGGGCAACCTAAAACTAGCTTAGGCAAACCAAATCAATAAATAGAAGGATAGGAAGAGAGAATAAGAGAGAACTTATAATTTTACAAACATGTACCTCAAGTCTTTAAACAGAATCATATACACAAAGACTCCAAAAATTAAGACACTCAGTGTCAACCTTTCTACCCACACATATGAACCCAACAACATCGGTCTAACTGGCACCATAAAGGTACCCAGACTAGGTAAGTTCAATGCTAAGGAGACCAACAATGGTGATGGTTAATTTCATGGGAGTCTCTTGACAGTAAGGAGTCTGGGTCCTCATTAAATTAGCTGACTTGAGATCCTAAAGTTGCAAAATTAGCATCTCCACCCTCTCAAAGCCATCACTGTACAGCATGGCCAATTACACTCAACAAGCATCAGCATGTTTGAGCTTATAAAAGCTGCAGTCAGTTGCTGCAGATGAGTCGGGCACGTTCCAACGCCTTCCTAAGTATGGAAATAAACATGTATTCAAATGAGGGTAAATAATGACCTAATGGGAAACGTTCAGTGAAGCATCTGACAACCAGTTCAGACTGGCACCTTTATCCCTTCCAGTTTCATCTGTTTCTCCCAGTCAGTTGAACCAGTAGGGTTGAGCTAGGGAGGGCTTGGTGGTCCCTGCAGAAGTCCAGGTGTTTTGCCTAAACACTGATTATGACAATGTATCCAACAGCGGCAGGCGTTCTATCTGCAAAAGCCTGATAACTCTATCAGCCCCTGCTCGATCAAGAGACTCCAGAGGCCCCCTTTTCATCTTCAGCTTGAGGCAAATCTCGATGGGCTGAAGAAATATGAGAAACCGAGATAAGTGCTAGCTACAATTATAGAGATACATTTGTACCGCTGCAATTAAGGTTGTGTCAGCGCTTCTATTAACCTTTGCATTGCCAGCGTTTTCCCATTTGGCATTCCAAGTGAGTAATAGCATTTAAATCAAGGAGGAACACAAGCCACTGTCTGAGTTACCATGAAAGGGCTGAAAATGGGCAGCAGTAGAGGCGACAGCCTCTACAAAGGTGCTAAACAAGCCGAGCAGGGTTTGGGAAGGTTTATGAGAGCAGCTCCCACACCACTCTTCCTCTATTCTTCGATGTTGAAATGACTTCTGGTGATGCGGTGGACTATTGCTGTGCCGCTAAGAGAAATTGCTGGGGCCTTTTTCCTTGTCTGTGTTAGGTTCCCTGACCAATCAAGAAATCCAAGGCTAAATTTCAAATGGCTTTGGGCTAAATTAAAAATTCCCAAATATGCTAATAATAAAAATAGCCTGCAGTTACTATTAAAAACATAGATTCCCAGATTCTTCTGGAATCCCCAGACTTAAAACATGCCCCAGGTGGTGACTTTACTCACCAAAATTTGGGAACAAACATTGTGTGCTTAATGTTAATCTTAAATGGAAGCCAAATATAAAGCAGGAATCTTAGGGGCTTATCTGAAATTAAGAAATTGAAATGAATTTTTGTCAATGGAACTTGGAAAAATAAAAATATGAAATATGGCAATTGCCCACTACATAATATACTTCATAAAGTTTTTGTTATTATTTTTCTGTAAGCATCTATTTTTTTTAATTTTTGTGTCACCAGTGGTTAAGCCAGGCCTATATACTGCACTTGGTATAAAATACTGAATACATATTTTATTAAAGAATGAATGGAAAAAATGACTCACACCCCAACTATTCCATAAAGTCCTTACCCATCTTTCCAACCACCTGTGGTCTTATCTTTCTCTCACATGCCTTTTGTAAATATGGACTACTCCACCCCACAATGCAGTTGATCCCATTGTATTCTATTGTTCCTATAAGGCAGCACATTGTAGCAAAAAGAAATATGATTTTAGATTCAAACACACATGAACAAATTTCTTAATGTCTAACATCAAAGTGTGAATATAAGTATCTTACAGGGTTGTTGATGGGATTAAACGAGTAATGTTTGCCAAGTGCGAAAAACCTCTTTAAAGCCATCAATCTAAATCTTCTCAGTACTTATTACAATGCCAAGGTCCCTGTAAGATCTTGATTTATCCTATTTTCTTCCCACCCTTCCTTCCTTAAATAATCTACAAATTCCTTAAGATCAGGGACCAAGTCTTACACTCCTTTATATTCCTTTGTGGCTATCCTTCATTGGTTATCCTGAGCATATAATATATGCTTAAATAATTGTTGATTTAGAAAAAGAGAGAAAGAACACTGAAAAAAAAAAGTTATAAGGAAAAAGAATTACATGCCAGAAGAATTGTCTTGTTCTCAATAAGTATCCCAGGCACCATGGAACTAGCCCTCAGTGCAGAATCAGAGTTGACATTCTAAGATTGCCAAGCAGGAGTTATTTCTCACAGCAATAATTGTTTGCAATTTTGCTCACTTCCAGTAACTTAGGTTTCAGAACCAAGAGTAAATGTTTGATTTTTACCCATACTGCACATTATTCTCTCTGCAATATGGTTTTTATTTGCTGAGGCTTTTCTGCTTGTCTGTAAAGCTCAAAGTTTCTTTCAAATATAACTCATGTAATTTTTAATCTTTAAAGTCAAATGGAGAGGAAAAGTATCGTATAGTACGTGTAGCCCAGAATTCTCCATATTCCTGGCTCCAAATAAAAACTGAAAACAAGTGGAAAAACAGTTCTTCAGGTGGTTTTCATTAACTAAATTCAGAGCTAAAAATCCACTAGAGGTAATTGACAATGGCCTCATATTTTCACAGATGAAATGAAAAACTGAGACCTAAAGAAAGTAAGTGATTCAAAATTCTGACCAGGATGAATCATTAATATTTATAAAAATTTTATAGAATCATTACATTTTAGATCCATACGTGACCTTAGAAACACCCAGGTCTAATATGTCACTCCCAAATAGAAATTCCCAATGCAACATTCCTGATGGTGCTGCCTGAATATTACCTGTGAGAGTTAATCACTACCTCACAATTAACCAGCCCATTCAGTTTGTGAATATTTCATTTTTATATCAAACGATGTCTCTCTCCTTCTACCTTTTGTTCCTAGTTCTGAGCATCAGTATTTGCAAACTGTTTGGTCCAGTGCTCAATTCACAGTACCTAGAACAGCGCCTGGCATATGTTAGGCATTCAATGAATATTGGTTGACTGAACGCACACCCATCAAACTTTTTGAAGTAGGCATAATTTATTCCTTTATCAAAGAGCCTATATATATATATATATATATATCATGGTTAGAATTGAAGCATTTGACTATATAACTTTATATATGCAATTAACTGCTGTGCTTTAAGCTTATAAGTATTCTCTTCTCAATAACAGTAACATAGCTGTAACCATTGGTTCCACCTATTAGCTAGTACAGCAATTAGCTAGTCCTCACTTAGCATCATCGTAGGTTCCTTAGAAACTATGACTTTAAGCAAAACAGCTATAACACAGCCAATTTTACCATAGCCTAACTGATACAAACAAGAGTTAAGTTCCAACAACATATTTCTGGTCACAAAAACATCACCAAACTTCTAAATAAAGACCAAAAACACAC